CTTCCCCACAGGCTCTGGTGGCTGAAGCTGACTGCTCTGGCAGATCTGGAAGACTGGGAGGAGCTTGAGAAGTTTTCTAAAAGCAAGAAGTCACCCATTGGCTACCTGGTGAGGTGGGGCCCTCCCTCCACCCTCTGCCAGGGAGGGTAGTCCTAGGGAGAGAACTGGGCCCGGAAATAGGCTGATGACCTATTGGTCATCTGTTCAGCTGGCCAAAATAGTGGGTGCTTCCTGTGTACACACATTCCTGGGCCAGGTGCATGGGAGAATGCGCCCAAGTCGGCCTGTAGATATCAAAGAAAAGTCCTATTTGAGTAGAGTGTGGAAGGGGACAGGGAAAACACATCTGCCGGACAGTGGAGGATATTGAGGGGGTTTGTTTTCTGTGGCAGACAGTTCAGAGGTGTGGTGAGTAGGTGGGGCAGCCATGAGAGAAAACACAGGCCCTGAGAGGGCAGGAAACTCCTGTTGTGAGGGGGTAGCAGTGGATAGTGGAGTGGATGCATAGAGATAATTGGTCTCAAGGCTCTGACAGATCTTTGGTTTAGGTTGTTTCTGCCCTCAGAATGTTGAGTTAATACTTTTTGTGGGTGTGTATCTGGGCAGGGGTGGAGAAATTATAGATGCTGAAGGATATGTAAAATATACAGGGACAATGTATCCAGTGGGCTTTTACACATAAGAGAGATGACAGGAGGGCTCTGCCTTATTTTCTCTCTCCATCCCCTTCCTCTCTAAGCCCTTCGTGGAGATTTGCATGAAGCAACACAACAAATATGAGGCCAAGAAGTACGCCTCCCGAGTGGGTCCCGAGCAGAAGGTCAAGGCCTTGCTTCTTGTTGGGTGCGTCTGCTGAGAGCCCTGTTGGTGCTAAGTGGCTGAGCCAGTGGGCTGATGAGGGGCATGGCTTGTGTCCTTGGTCAGCCCAACACAGTTTCCCCTCCTGCTCAAACTGTAGGGATGTGGCTCAGGCTGCAGACGTGGCCATTGAGCGCCGGAATGATGCAGAGTTGAGCCTTGTATTGTCCCACTGCACTGGAGCCACAGATGGGGCCACAGCCGACAAGATCCAGCGGGCCAGGGCACAAGCCCAGAAGAAGTGAGGGGCCCACGCTGCACATCTCCTCGGGTCCTGGGTTTGGCAAAAGAGTCACTGCTCATTCACCTCCTCCCTCAGAGCTAAGCTGAGGTGGGAAGGGAGCCAGGGGTCTGCTTGTAAATAAAATTGGAACATTTTAGAGTGCTTGTGTTATGCAGTCCCTCTTAAGCAAAAGCAAGCTATTAGGTAGAACCATACAGAGACCTCAGCAAAACTCCATGTTTGTGTTGGGTCTGGAGAAGGAGCTTCTCCAGCTACATTTATAAGAGACCTGCTCCTTTGTGCGGTTACCAAGGAAAGCCCTCTCAGGCTCCCTGCCCCTAGAAAGATTATGGGGACAGATAGCACAAAACTTAAGCAACTACTCATCAAGAACTGTACTGAAAAGCGTTATACATACACATACACAAGAACCATGCTAAACACTTGACCATTATTTCATTTATTCCACATGACAGCCTGGCGAGATAGGTAATATAACCCCATTTTACAGAAGAGGAATTTGAGGTTTGGTAACAGAGAATATTACCAAAATGGATTTGAAACCATGTTGGACATTTGGGGACCTTAGATGTTGTGGTAACTGCAGTTGGGCCCTTTTTGAGCAGAGGAACCTGAGTAAGGCCCCAGTTTGCACTGCAGTGAGTGTTGGAGGACTAATGAGAGGCATGTGGCCAGCAGATTGTAGGGGTTGGAGGAGGAGCCTTTGGAGAACCTGCCCACTGAACAGTGGTGAGCAATTGCTGAGGTCTCTGGGCTGAAGAGAAAAGGATGGAATTCTTTTGGCAGTTCTGCCAAAGAAGGACTGCAAACGAGACCCTGGCTCCATCCTACCCCGAATGGAGGTTTCATCCCATCAGTAGGAGCGCACTCCAGTGCACTTTGACTTCATGTCCCAGTGCCCCAACTCAACACTGAGAGCATTACTTTTTCCTCCTGTTACCCCCTTAGTTTAGAAGGGAGAAAAAGGAGGAAGTCCAGAGGGAGGGCAGACCTCACCAAAGCTTCCGGCTGCTGAAAAAGAATGAGAGAGGTCTAGTAAGGTTTTTCTTTTTCTTCCCCCACCTGATTTGTAAATGTAAGTTTGTGAAAATCCTCCCAGTGGATATAAATCAAATTGTAAAACAACCATTTATTATGCTTACCACTTAGTTGGGTCAAGAATTTGGACAGGGTAAAACAGGGATGGTTTGTTTGCTCTTCGGTGTCTGAGATAACTGGAGGACTCAAAGGTTGAAGGTGACTTGATAGCTGAAGGCTGAAATTATCTGAAGGCTTGGTAACACAGTCTGGCAGTGGAAGTCGGTTGTTGACTGGAACCTTAGCTGGGGCTGTTGGTGAGAACTCACACAACCTCCAGTACCTCACAACATGGCAGCCGGGTCCCAATAGCAGCATCCCAAGAGAGCCAGGCAGAGCTGTACTGCTTTCCATAGCGTAGCTTTGGGAGTCACACCTGCCGCATTCTGTTTGTTGAGACAGTCACATAGGCCTTCCCCACCCAATTTCAAAGGGAAATTGACTCTACCTCTTGATAGGGGAGTAGCAAGTTCTGGAATGTTATGCAGAACTAGAAATGTGGCCAGTTTTTGGAATCACAATCTGGCATGCCCTATCAGATTGATCTCAGAATCAGCAGACACCTCCAGGGATAGGAAAGGAGATCCCCGATACTAGTCTCATCATTCTGTGCTTTTTTCCTCTCCAGTCTTGGCCCCACAATTCCTCACTTCCCTATTAGCTCTTCAATGTCTTTTAAAAATGTTTTCTCTAGCTTTTCTAGTTGTTCTCTGTGAAAAGGAGTTGATACTATATAACCCAGTCCACCATCTAGAAGGACCCTGGGCAGTACTTTTAGAATGTACACAATAAAAAGCCTATGTCCCCAAAATAACATACAGCATATTTTACTCATGTCATGTGCAAACATTAAACATTAACACGTGGAGTAAATGAAATTTTAGAAATATGTGAGAAATGATGATGACATACAAACGTGGTTATAACTTCATAAAAAGAGAAACACTGGAATTATTCGTGGGAGAGTTGTTTGAAAATTAAAGCAGTCATGTGTACTTTTTTGTAAGGTTAAACACTGATTTTTCCCCTAACATTTTTTAAAACTTTTGTTTGTTAATTCTCACCTGTGGATATTTTTTCCATTGGTTTTTAAAGAGAGTGGAAGGGTTGGAGGGAGGGAAGGAGAGAGAAACATTAATGTGAGAGAGATACATCAATTGGTTGTCTCCTGCATGACCCCAACCCAGGGATGGGGATAGAGCCTGCAACCCAGGTACAAGGCCTTGACTGGAATTGAACCTGCTACCCTTTGGTCCTCAGGCTGGTGCTCTAATCACTAAGCAACTTGGCCAGGGCTCCCCCAACATTTTATCATGAAAACTCAAACATATATTAAGTTGAAAGAATTTTACAGTGAATACCTGTACACCCACCACCTGGATTCTACATTAACATTTTAATATATTTATCATACATCTATCAATCCTTCTATCCATATTACTAATGCATTCCTTAGTTTTAATGCATTTCACAGTAAGCTGCAGTCATTAGTACACTTACCTCTAAATATTTCAGAATGCATTTCATTAGAGTTCATTATTTTCCATTTTTTCAGACAAAATCTCTATATAAAATGCTCAAATCTTAAGTGTACATTTACTGTTTTGACAAATGCATACACCTTTAATGATATCTTTAAAAAAAACAGGATTTATTTTTTCCCCAAATCTTCAACTTATCAATTCAAATTTGTGTAAAATGCCTTCTACCCTGAGCAATTTGCATAGCAGGCCTGGGCCTACAGTCTTGTTGGAACGAACTCTTGGTCAGTGGATGGGAGTAGGATTAGGCCTGGAACCAGAATTTCAGGGCTGGGGCAGAGAATTTGAGAACATTCCTTCTAGTTAGATAAAAATATATAGAGATACGACTTGTTAATTCTCACCTGAGGATTTTTCCATTGATTTTAGATAGAGTGAAAGGGCAGGGGGGAGAGAGAGAGAGAGAGAAAAACATCTATGTGAGAGATACATTGATTGGTTGCCTCCCACACGACCCTGACCAGGGCTGGGGATCAACCAGGACTTGGGATCTAAACCTGTGGCCTGTGGCCCTTCTTTGGTCTGAGGGCTGACTGACGCTCTAACTGCTGAGCCAAATCAGCCAGGGCTAGTTTAGGATATTAATGGCAGCCCTGGAGTGAGAGAGCAAAGGCTCCTCCTATAAGCTACCTTTTCAGGGAGAGGGGGCTGCAGTCTCTTTTAAAGGTTTTTTTGTTTTTTTTTTCAATCCTCACCCAAGGACATTTTTCCATTTTTTGTTCAGGTAGAGTGGGAGGGAGAGAGAGAGAGAAAAGCATTGACATGAAAGGAACACATCGAGTGGCTGCCACCCGCAGGACCAACCAGGGCCAGGGGACAAACTGCAACCGAGGTATGCGTCCTTAGCAGGAACTGAACCCCAGTCTCTCTGGACTGCAGGCCAACGCTCTAACCGCTGAGCCAAACCGGCCAGGGCTGCAGTCTCTTTTAGGTACAGAGCTGGCAAATGACCTCTGGGAGTAGAACAGTGGCCCTGGAAAGACTCTTGGCTCTCATTTACTTCAAGTTTCTATCTTATTGCTTTGCTTTATTTTCATTACAGCATTTTTAAAAATATATATGTTTTCATTGATTTTTTTAAATTATTTTTATTAATTTGTTTTTATTACAGATGTTTCTCCTTTTTCCCCCATTGACACCCTCCTCCCCATCCCTCCTGCCCCATCCCCAGCTTTGTTGTCTATGTCCATAGGTTATGCATACATGCATATAGGTTCTGTGGTTTATCTCTTCCCCCTCAACAATGATATGTTGTTATCATTTTTAGTTGGGTTACTCTTCTAAAAAGGAACACCATAAAGGACTTTCCTACCATAATGCACCTTTGAAACGTATGCTGGTTCAGGTGAAACAGCAGGTTCTGCAGGGATGGGAGGAGGACCTGGTGTTTCTAAACTTCTTGGCTCAGGTTCATCCACCTGTAGAAGCTCATCGAGAGCTAACTTGGCTGCGTTGGATCTAGACTCCTTTTTATTTTGTCCCAGTCCAGTCTTGTACTGAATACCATCCACCACAGCACAAAAAGCAAAATATGGGCCTAAAACGTTTCCTGTTGTTACTGTTTCCTTAAAGTCAAGCTGAACCCGCTGCATCTGTGCAAACTGGTACAAGGCAGACACAGGGTTTCTCTCTCCACGTTTGTATTTCATTATAAACTCCTTAGGTATTTTTTTTCCCCTCGGTGGAAGGACAGGATTTGAAATACATGAAAGACCTTTGGAAAGAAATGGTTCTGGAAAATTACCCGTCACCGGTGTGACCTTGGAGGCCATGCTGGACAGGCTGTCGCTCTGCGAGGACTGTGCTGCGGGCGTTGTCACCGTCTGGCCTGGTGGCGGAACGGGCAGGTTCTTCTTCAGCATCTGGGCAAAGCTAGGGACCTTGGAGCTCTGCTGAAACCAGCCATTGTTGGCAGCCATCTTCTCACCGAAATTGTCCTTCCAACCCCGCCGGCGGGCAGCTGAGGCCCGCCTCTGGCCTCAACCTCTCCCTTCGGGCCACTGTGCGTGAGAGCCACGCGGCCAGCGCTGCCGCTTTCCAACGCGGTCTCCCGGCGGGTGGCCCTGCGGCCCAGACTGGCGTGCCCGCCCAGGCCTCCTCCGAGCACCAACCCTCATTGATTTTTTTAGAGACAGAGAGGGAGAAACATAGGTATAAGAGAGAACCACTGATGGGCTGCCTCCTGCACGCCCCCTACTGGGGATCGCGCCTGCAACCCCTGGCATGTGCCTTTACTGAGAATCCAACTGGGACCTCGCATTCCGTGGGTGGACACTCACTCCTCTGAGCTACACCGGCTGAGCATCATTACAGCATTTTAAAAACTTTCTTTTCACTTGTTTGTTTATTGTCTGTCGCCCCATCCAGAATGTTTCATAAGAGCAGAGACCTTTTCTGTCTTATTCCCTACTGTGTCCAGCACATGGTCTGCACTCAAGTATTTGTTGAGTAAATGACTCATTGTTCCATTTACTACATGGGGAAAGGAGGCCCTGACAGGAAGTGACTTGTCTATAGAAACAGGAGTTCTTTACTCCCATCCTCCAGCTCTCCTTCTAGTCTAGTTCTCTTCCCATGATCTCTATGACTCTTGGGGCACCTATCTGTAGTGAACCCCAGTGTTCTCTCCCATACCCTACTCCTGTGGAGTAGGACTAAACCAGGACTAGGAGGAAGGCGTTGGCCTTCCACTTGGGTAGGCCTGGGTACAGGAAGCCTGCTTCCCCTCCTTATCTCAGTTCTTTTTTTTGTTTGTTTGTTTAATCCTTACCCAAGGACATTTTTGCATCTATATTCAGATAGAACAGAAGGAAGAGAGAGAGAGAAACATCAAGGTGAGAGGGACACATCGATACTTGCCACCCACAGGAACCGGGGCGGGGACAAACTGGTACGTGCCCTTAGCGGGAACTGAACCAGGACTCTTCAGTCCGCAGGCCGACGCTCTTACCACTGAGCCAAACCAGCCAGCTGAGCCAAACCGGCCAGGGCTTATCTCGGTTCTTTTCTCCTCTTTGATGACAGCCCTTTGTCCTGTGGTAATGAGAGGAAGCTATGGACACCCTGGGTGTCAGGATCGGGAAGCTGGGCAGGTCTCCACAGGTGGGCAGCTGAGGATGTGGATCTGTCCTCTCCCACTGGAAACAGGGTATGTGTGGTTGCCAAGCTTCCCCTGGTCTCCAGAATGAGACACCCAACACCCTGCCTTTTTTGGGTCTGAGGTTCTGTCGCCCCTGCACACATACCATAAATGGTGGGACCACAGTGCAGTTGTGTCATGGAGAGAAGGAACTGCATTTAGGGGACAGGGTTACTTGCCAAACTGTACATGCCTGCAATTCTCAGTACAGTCCTGGGAGGTTCCAGGAAGAGTAGCAGGAGATTCAGCCAATGAAGAGGCTTGAACCCCAGTGTTCTCTCCCATACCCAACTGAAGCATTTTCCCAGGTGAGGTCAATAGGCTGAGGATCCTTCAGATCTCAAGGATGAACACTTTTTATTTTAATAGCTATTTATTTTAATGTATGTGAGAAAATATAAGCATGTCAAAATATTTTATGGTGCCCGGCCGGTGTGGCTCAGGGGTTGAGCATCGACCCATGCACCAAGACTGTCAAGGCACATGCCCAGGTTGTGGACCCAATCCCCAGTGGGGGCATGCAGGAGGTGGCCAATCGATGTTCTCTCTCATCAATGTTTCTATCTCTTTTTCCCTCTCCCTCTCTCAAATCAATAAAGAAAAAATATTTTAAAATATTTTATGGTAATATAAGTAAAAATATAAATAAAATATAAACTAAACCAAAAGAAATATATTAAGAAATAATAGTGTAGATCAGATACAGATAAAACCATACTAGCTACCCAGGTACTTCCTACAGTCATAGTCATTGTTTCTCAGGGTTTCTAAACACTTTGAATGCAGATTTTCACTTTCCGTTGGTGGGCAGATACTGAGTTCAGACTTCCTTGGAAACGTGGACAGTAGGCATATGAAAGGACCTGTTCTCTTTGGTTCTAACAGGAGATTGGGCATGTGGGCTGGGCACCTTTGAGCTGGAGTGTCAGTCCAGTAGGGGCGCCTTGGGTTTGGCCATTTCAGGACACTTCTGGGCAAGCCCTGCTGAGAGGGGGTGGAAAACACATCTCCCACTCAAGGAGGGACTTTTCTGCTTGGGAGGGGATGGCCCGAAGGAGGCCCATCACACCCCATATTCCCAGACCATAACTCTGGTAGGCATACACTCACTTATTCCACAAATAAGGGGTACGGGGGTGCATAGCATTTCAAGTTGGTGCCCCAACTGCAGGCGGTGGTGGGGACTGGACGTGGTAGGGGCATCAACCCCATGAAAATGGCAGCTGATGCGGGCTTCTTCTCCTGCACCAAAATGTCCCCACCAAACCTGCCCCGCCAGGAATAACTGACACTGGTCACAGACCTTTTCCCTGAGATGTCAGAACCCTGGGACTCTGCCCGGCAGGAGGTGGGAGAGGGAGGGGATCAGAGGCTGCGAGCGAGGAGGAAAGGCTCGCCGCAACCTACCCCAGGTAGCATAGACTCCGGGTCTCGGGTGAAGGGTCCCCGCCAAACTGCAATTGCACACTGCTGTGCAATCGGTCTCCACCCTACAGACGCCCAGCCACTTTCCCTGTGCGGGTCCCGGTGTGTCCGAGGTACCCCGCTTGAGGGTCACAACCAGGGGAGTGTCTCACTCGCCACCAACCACGACTCTGTAATCGGACTTCAGCAGGGGACGCCCAAGTCCTGCAGCCTGGGAACCTGCTCCCGCTGGACAAACGGACGGTTGGTTTTGGGGCGCCACACGTGGGGCGGGGAGCACTGGCGAGAAGTAACGCGGCCCTCGTCGGGTCCTCGGCCCCCCTCTTCAGGTTTTTCTTGCGCTTTGAACCTCTCCTCCCCTCTCCCTCCAGGCCTATCTCAAACAATACACCCACCGCAGAGCACCATGTGTTGTGTTTCTACCCGGCTCCGCGGCATGCCAGGCCCCGGTACGTGCGTCTGGAAAGCGAGGATTTCCCTGGGGCTCGGGTGGGGATGTCGTGGGCTGACTTGATGTAAGACGACACCCACGGTGCCAGACCCATTCTAGGGGCTTTGCAGGTTCCTCTCTCTCCCTAGTGAGAGCCATCGTCCTTTAAATACCTTGCAGCAAGCAATTGGGGCGGCGGGGGGGGGGGTGGGGGTGAGGGGATCCGAATGGAATATGTTTGGAGAGAGAAATGGAAAGACGGCATTGGAGTTCCAGGCCACCCTTGTCGCCGGACTTTGGTGTAACTTGTATTTGGCCTCAGTTTCCGCATCTGAAAAGTGGGAAGAAGGCCCATGTCCAAGGGACTAGGGCTGTAGAGAGGCAGAAGGCGTAGGTGCACGGGTGGTCGGTGCTCCCCGGGCCCTGCTTCCTCCAGGACAGGGCTTTGATGAGGCGCACATCTTCAAGTCAGCACGTGAGACCGTGACACCATGAGATCCAGCTTTGCGTCCCTGACTAGTGAGCGAGCGCTCGGAGGCGCGCAAGGGCGGGGCCCAGTAGGGCCGGGAGACGCCCTTTCGGAGACGCCCAATCAGCGCCCGTCTCTGAACGGCCAATAAGGAGGCGCCTTACAGAAAAGGCCGGCTCGGGAGTGAGGCTGCGGCGAGTGCGGCGCTGACAGAGAGGCGCGCGCGCGCGAGCCAGCTCGGACCCCGGGCAGCTGCAGCCACCACTGCCTTCCGCCCCAGTTGCCCCTCAGCCACTTTTCCTCGCCATGGAGGCGAGGCCGCCGCCGCCGCCGCGAGGCTCCAAGCCGCGGGCCGGGCGGCGGCCCTGAAGGCGTGTGGCGGGCCGAGACGCCGCCGCGCAGCAGAGGCGGAGCCGCCGTCCTCGTCCCCAGCGGTCCCGCCCCGCGCCGGACTCGGTGAGTGTTCGCGGCCGCCGCCGCCCCGGGGGGCTTTGGAAGTGGCGGGGTTGGGGAGTGGCTCCCGGGCGCGGGTGGGAGGGGTCCCTGGCAGGAGTCCCAACCATTTTTTCCGGGTAGAATCCTTCGAGAGTCTAGAATCCAGACGACTCTCACATCCTTGCGCTGTCCGGGGGCGGGGGGGGAGTCCCCGGAAACGTGAGGGACAGGGCGCTGACCCCTGTCGAGTGCCCAGGAACTTTGCGTGCGTCCTCCTGGGGGCAGGCCTGGGCTGCCATAGTTCATTCTGAAAGAAGAAACTTGGAACGGTGAGAACAGTATTTGCTCAGGTCCATTTAATGGGAAGAAAGAGGGAAACTCCTGGCAGGAGGAAATTTGCTCTTGCGGAGACCAACTTTTCTTTCCCTTAAAGCCCCCCCAGGCCCCTCTTTTTTTCTGCCCACTCTCAACTGTTGAGGCCGCTTAAGAAGGGAAATAGGGGCTCAGTGCTGCCCAGAATTCAAAATGAGCCCATTGGGAATGCAGATTCCCCCTCCCTTTTTACTTTTGGTAAATAAAATAAAGAATATCGCTTTTTGAAAAATTAGTTCCTAATTGTATTTCCTGAAGATAAAAATAATGGCAGAGCTGAGCCCAATGTCGAAGGGTTTTTTTTTGTTTTGTTTTTTGAGGTCATGTTGTTTGTAAGACAGGAAAAGAATGTTCAGAACCTCCCTAGACAGGGTGAATGCCTTCAGGAGCCTTTGCCCAGAGTAGGGATTCCTGCTCTAGAACCAGTCACATCTCCCTAGAGATCTCTTCGTTGGCCACCTGCTTGCTGTGCAGGCAGCCCTGGAACCAGAAGATGGTGGGCGGGGAGAGGACTGACAAGGAAGATGGGCGAACATCTTCCTGCCGGGCCACTCCTTCAGAAACCACAGAGCTGATGCTGTCACTTGTTTACTTAAAAATTCCCTCACTCTCCTCTTCCCATGGGATGAATGAAGCCTAAAATGTCTTA